TTTGAGCTTTCTTCAGACATACACAGAATCTTCCTTTTGATCATGACTGGTTTTTTTTTGTTGATTTGTGGAGACATTCAGACCGGGGTACTTGTTAGCATGACAATAACGAAGTTTGATAAATTAATACAGAACTGAGGTTGTGCTTGGAATCACATATTGTAATTTCCAGCCATATAAACCATCTCTGCTGCATGTACACAGTACCAGAAATGTCTGTGGCAGCTGTACGTGTTTTTGCATCCTCTCATACCTTTGGAAACAAAGGTGTTTAATTAGAACTACTTTATATTTTGACTGCAAGTGTACCTCCTGATCCTTTCTGTGGGTAATCAAACTGAAATCAGTTAAATGCTTCCCGAGAGCGTTAAATGTATTTTGAGACTGTAGTTAACAAAATCCCATAATTGAGTCTTTTTTATTGTCAGCATTATAAAGATAAGAATAAGTATTTATGACATAACAACACATCTTTTTTAACCCAAACATCTTTCTGCTCTGAGGAATTTATTGTCAGCAGTTGCATAAAATACATGTTACTTTTGAAGTTATCTTCAAGGTTATCACTTTAAGTTGAATGATCATCATTCCAGGAGAGACAGTAATATTAATTTGCCATTCCTTGTATATTTTTCTCCTGATGAAGTGCATATATTTTAAACTGCTGAGGGGAAGAAGTTACTGTATGTACTTTGCTTACTGCATTACAAACATTTAAGCAACAAAGTGAATCTTATGTCATATTCTAGTATATTGCAGATTCTCTAGTGAACAGAGATGGTTTGTTTTGTTACATGTGAAATGTACCATAATAGTAGAAATACTTTGAATACTTGTTGTGTCCTAAGAAACTGTTCTCCAGGCTGTCTTGTAAGTGAGTGGGCTGCTTCCTTCTAAGAGAAAAACTGGTACTGGGAACCTAGTTAGAGTGGCTCAGACTTGAGAAATATCTTCTGTTCTTTATTAGAGGATTGATTTCTATAACTGTGTAATAGATTGTTTGTTAGATTGTTATAAATAATATAGCTTATGGCCATAGGGGCAACAACAATATGAGGGATTATTGTTTCACCACAAAATGAGCACATTTTGCTGGAGCCATGAGCAATTATGTAAAAGAAGTTCCATTTTTGGTTCATGTGACAGTGGTTATTTTTAATATACATGAGCATCTAAAGGTAGATCTTTAACTTTTCAGCCTTCGAGAAAAGGTCCTATCAGTTCCAGCCCTATCAGCTCCTGCATATGTATTGTAAATAAATAACATCATTGATAAGAGAACTAAAAGTTGTTTAGTTGTTGAGCCTTACTTATCCATAATTATATGAAACCAGATATGAAATGGGAATGACAGATAGAAGATTGTTCAGAAGTGCTCTTGCAAAAGGAGGACAAAATTGCCACACAGTTAATCCTCAACTCAAAGCTTAAAAATCTGTACTTAGTGTTTTCTGTTTACAGTACAGAGCACAAAGTTGTAAGGAATGTCCTTGTGTTAAAGTGGGTATTTTCCATATATTTTCCATAATTTGTACTGCTAATTACAACAGATTTGAAATAACCACTCTTTGGTACCTACGGAGAATGAAAACATACATCTCATATCTTTCTCCTTGAAACAGCTGCTAAATATGTCAAGAGAACTGAGTGAGTTGAAGAAAAATCTTAAGGATGCTACTGCTGCAATTGCAGCTGAGCCTCTGAGTGTGGAATCTGAGCCCACATTCAATTCTACAGAAGCAGCCATTCAGTCCATGCTGGAGTGTTTGAAAAACAACGAACTGGTTAAAGCTGTCCGGCAAATAAGGGAATGCAGGCAAGTCGTACTATGCAGTTCATGGTAGATTTTCATGTTATTAGAAGAGCATGCATTTATTATTCTCCTAACTTTATACTACATGTAATGTGCTGAGTCACCATAATTAATCTTACTTTTCAACAGATACGTGGGGCACAGATGTTAGTAGCTTTTGTGGGATGTGCCATAAGTAATGATATCAAATCAGCAATACAGACACAGATGTTTACCACCATGAAGACGTTTAACAGCATTGCATAGATAAAAAGTACTGCTGTGAAGCTCCTGAGAATCTTTCTTTGTATATGTCACTGCCATCAGCTGATGTTCAGCCCAGTTTCACTTCATTATTTGAATGAGATTTCTTAGCCTTTTATTTTTAGAAAATAGGAATTGTGCATTTGTGTGATGTCAGTGTCTGCTATCATTAACTGTTGAGTGGCATAAGCAAGAGAGTTCCTTTGGCTTGTAATGTGTCCATGTCTGTTCTCTTTGTTGAGACCCTGGTCACTTAGTTTCAGTCTGTGCTAATAACCCATAGTGATACACACATTCTTTTCCTGTTGGGTTGCAGGATTTTGTGGCCCAATGACATCTTTGGAAGTAGCTCTGATGATGAAGTCCAGACACTGCTGAACATTTACTTCCGGCACCAAACCTTGGGTCAGACGGGCACCTATGCACTGGTGGGCTCTAACCAGAGCCTGACGGAAATCTGTACCAAATTAATGGAACTGAACATAGAGATCCGCGACATGATTCGCAGAGCTCAGAGTTACCGGGTCATCAATACTTTTCTTCCAGACTCCAGCGTTTCCGGCACAAGTCTCTGACAGGACTCTGGAGCCCTCTGTCAAGCTGGGAGTGCTGCCCTGTTGGAGTGAGGTGGCTCAATGTCTTCTCAGCCTTACAAAGGTTTGGTCAAACTGTACTCACTCTTGTTACATTTAGGATTTCTTCTAAAAAGTTACGGGCTGAACTTCAAATGTGTAGCAATACTGTAAGGACGAAGGTAGCATAGAGCATCCAGGACAACATCCTTTGTTCTCTGTTGCACAAAAACCAGTTAGCATTTCACTGAGCAACTGCAACTCACTACTGAAGAAGTGACTTCCGTTGCATACCAAAGCCTACTACACTGAACAATACTTCCTTTATAGCAAATTAACTTTAGGTTGGCAGAAGTGCAATGTTTCCTTCACAAAATAATATTTTTTGTTAAAAAAAAAAAAGAAAAAAACTTGTACATTTTTTCCTTTTTTCTCTTGTTTGGTTGAGTGAAAGATGGGCAGAATGAAGCTGGCCACGGAATCTCGCAAACTTGTTGGTCAAAAGCTGAGAGCCTGTGTGTATGAACCAAATAGTAAATGGACTACAGTTTAATGTACACTGTAATTTGAATATGACTACCGTATCTTAAAACAACGAGCTGCTATGAAGTACATTTCCTAATGTTACTAGGCTACTGTCTCTGAAGGTACTGGATCATATTGCAGAGGTCTGTTCTTAGGCCCCCGAGTGTCTTGGTAGATTTTCTGTTTGTTTTTCTTTTCTTTTTTTTTTTAAGAACCTTGGCGGCTTTTTACTAGAGGGTTGCTTTTATGAATATATTTATACTATTAAAGGATGGTTGATCTTATTTAACTTGCCATTTTGTAGGAGAAAGTCCCATCACAGTCAAACCTTTTGAACTGTATTGCATGCTTATTTTTATTTAATATAAATTTTGAGTATAAAAAGTAAAAAATATTAACGTGAAATGCAAGTTCTCATGTTAAGTTTCTTTAAAGAGATGTCCTATTTTATTTGTAATGTATATATATAAAAGTCATACCTGTATGTTTTTTTCTTACATTTAACTGCTGTCCAGTGTTAAATGTATGCATGTAAATCTGATGCACATCTGAGACACTTTTGTTCTGACAACTATGTAACTTATTCACTCTGTAAATACACTTACTGTTTTTGTGAAGTAATTTTGGTTGATACTTGGATCAGTACATCCATTTAACTAAAATATAAAAGTCATATATAATCACAACAGAGTACTGGTTGTTAAGACTGTGTATCTGCTGACGGGTGAGAAGCAGCCTCCAGAAGACTGCTGTTCCATGGCTTATGTTAAATTATTACATTGAAAGAAACCCATATGTAGTAATTTTTTCGTTGTTCTTTATTATCTCAGTAAGAATATACTGACTGAAACAGATTCAAACTGAAAAACAAACAAACAAACAAAAAACAGCCACCTGCAGGTGAAGGCTTATTTCTGTTAAAAACATTAATAATGGGCCTGTTAATTCCAGACTTCGTTTTCAATTATTTTTCTTCCTAGTGCTGAAAGTGGAAGAAAGTCATTCCAGCCTGCCATGTCAGCCCAGGCTCTCAGAACACAAACCCTCTCCCCTTTAGCCCCATTTCAGAACACTTGCTCGATTTTAAGAGGATTCTTATCAAGAGGAAAACTCAAGGTGGAAAGAACTGGGTGAAGCACTTCAGGAAGTCACCTTGCTGTAACTCCACTTGAAGCAGCAGTAGCCACGAGGTCAGGTTACTCAGGCTTCTAGCCAGTTGAGCCTTGAAAACCTCTGAAGATGGAGTGCACTGCTTCCCTGGACAGCTTATTCTACTTGACTGTCCATGTAGTAGAAAAGCTTTTCCTTCCTTCTAAGCCTCTCGGCTTCTGCCCCCTCAAAGCTGTAGGGCAGCACAAACAGTAGCAACACTTACTATGCTTCTGTAAAAGGTTTTTTCAAAGATTACACTGACTGCATTTTGTTCTCATTATGTTCAATTTGAGATACCCTGGAAGATCAGAATGCTCTGCAGTTGAATTAAGCAATTATAGTTGTATAACAGTTCCTGTAGCTGCAGTGTCTAGACTAGAAAACCCATCTTGAAAAAGCTTTTTAAGATATACCAGTTTACTCTTACAAGGTACAGACATAGTATATGGAGAAACCTGCTGATTGATTTTTAAGTATATGTTTGCTAAGGGGTAAAGAAACATGCAGATACCTTTACCACAATTCCACCCCCAACCTTCTCCCACTCTAGTTCAGTTTGAGTGAAAGAAGCTGTTTGCTACTACATACTAAACCTTAACTAAAGATAAACTAAAACCAAAACCTATGTGGGAATTCCAGTCATTTCTTTCCAGGTATGCTTTCCTCCTTGATCACAGCAAGATGAAACAAGCAGGTAACAAATCAGTGCAAACTTTTATTGAACTTCAATTACAGCATATATATAAAGTTAAATATTTTATAAATAACAGAGAAGTCTTCATCCATTATCCAATGCCAGGTCAAAAGCCTAAGGTCAAAACATCACAAAAGACGGACAATGCACAGAGTGCAAACTGGTGGAGGGCACGCAAATTAGACAATGTACTTGAAGCTGTAGGTGTTATCACAGGACAGCCTCTTGCCTTTGCAACGGCCACAGAGTTCTTGGCGATGAGGTCTTGTGAGATCAATGTGCCTTTTCTTCTGAGGGCAGGCACAACGAGTCTTGAAGCAGGTCTTAAGAAATGAGAGAGGGGAGCAGATAAGAGGTGTGCATTATGTTGGTTTCCCTTAATCATAAGAAAGTACTTGAGCTGATAGGCTTAAAAGAGCTTTTGCGATAAACCCCATGAAGTTAAGCTGTAAAAGCTTCTCACCTAGAAGAACAACATTACCCTGCGCATTGCTAGATGGGACACTAGGTGGTATGAACAGAAAACTGTTCAGGTTTCATTAGCAAAACAACTCCTATGCAATTACCCCTTTCCCAAATGTTTCCTAGTTCTGACAGAATTCTCTTCCCAGTAACAATGAACTATCTGAGTACATGATCAACTCACGTAGTTTTACCAAAAAATAAACCTGTAACTTACCTGGCACTGGATTGCCTCCACCCGATAGGGATTGAAGCCCTTCTGGCATTTGCGGCAGAGCTGCTTGAAGTACACCTGAGAAGATTAAGTTTTTAGTGATTTACTCAAGATGTTGGATACCATCACCCAACATTTGTGCCAAAACCATGATTCATTTCTCACAGATGGTGTGAGAAACAGAAGTGTCAGGAACAAGACAAGACCTGTTTTGTTACACGTGAAGTACCTTGTTACTCCCGGAGATGCACCACACGTAAGCACTCTCCCATCTGGTCTTGCAGTCCTTGCAGTGGAAATAGCCGTACTTCTGCTCCAAGAACTGCAGAGAGAGAGAGCTCAGCATCCTCCTACCCTCAGCACCAGCCGTCTACAGGGGCGAGATGCTCCCAGAGCAGCCACCGATGCTGAGGGGACGGGGCGCCTCTCCGCTCCAAAGCTCCACGCCAGGGCTCCTCATCCCCTCGGTCTCCCCCGTCCCCCCCGCGCCACGCACCTGGAAGGCGGCCCGGCGCCCAGGGGTGGCACTCTGCTCCCGCGGCGCCTCGCTCGGAGCCGCAGCCTCCGCAGCTTCCGCAGCTTCCGCAGCCTCCGCCGGGCCGTCCCGCTGCTCGTCGCTACCGCCCTCCGCCTTCTGCTCCTCGGGGGCGGCCGCTGCCGCCGCTTCCTCCTCTTGCTGCGCCGCGGCCTCGGGCAGCGTGAAGAGGCGGGAGTTCAGTAAGGGCGAGTAGAGGGCGAGGCGGCCCCGGGCGCGGGCGGCGGCGGTGAGAGGGCGGCCGGCGGGCAGCGTGCGCGGCCCCAGCGAGCACTGCACGGCGGCGTCGGCCCGCGGGTTCACCTGCACGCCCACCTCCTTGGTGTTGGCCCGGCGCAGCCGCGGCGTCAGCCCCGGGCTCACCTGCGACAGCAGCGCCTTGAGCTGCGCCCGGCGGCAGCTGTCCAGGTAGTCGGCCGACACCGGGGTGGGCGGCCCCACGGGGAAGGGGCCGAGGCCGCTGCTCTTGCTCTGCTTCCAGCTCGGCTGCTTCGGCGTCGACTCCCCGCCGCGGTTGGGCGGCAGGCCGCCCCTGAAGCCCTGGAAAGAGCCGAAGGGGGGAAAGACGAAGCTCTCCATGGCGGTACCCGCAGAAAGGTCAGCTAGGGGCGGCTCCCGGCCCTGCCTTTATCCCGTCTGCGAGCCGGTGTTAATTGCCGCTAATTGACGGGGAAATTGGGCGCAGCCGGTGCTCCTCCTGCCCTCCGGCCTGTCGCACGGGCTGGGGCTCATCGCTGGGGCTTCCAGGGCCTGCACAGCCGTGGCAGGTCTGCCTGGTGGCTGAAAGGAAGGGAGCTGAGAAGCTGAAGCTGCCCCGATAAGCTGATGGTGCCACTGGTGACCAAGCAGAGAATGCGGGCCGTTAATCTTTTGCGACAAGTCTTTGTCGTTGCTAAAAGGTTTTAACGTCCCCATTACTTAAGGATTGTCTGCAAACTGCTTTTCCTCAACTGGCTGTGGTGAGAGATGGGGTGTACTTCAGCTGGTACAAAACCCAGAGGGAAAACAGTTAGATTGGCAAAAGTGGCCTAGTATCTGTATAATGAAATAAATTACAGCTATACAGGTGCCTTCATATTAGGCTAATAGTTCTTCTGTCCTAATTGCACCTTTTAGTTATGCCGATTCTAAAGTAACAGAGTTAACATCATGTAATTAAATTCATCAGAGCTGTGTTTGCAAATCTGTAAAGACTGTAGAATCCCCCACACCTTTGGACTTGCTGTGGTGTTCCGTGATTTCTTCACACCACCCCTCACCTTTGTATAAAAGCGTTGCATTATAAAAGTGGGACAACAGGGCAGGAAGAATCAGTAGGGATGAGGTGATGTCTTTAAACTTCCACCGTGTGGGTGAGAAAGATCCCTTTGAGTGCCTTTTTATGGAACAAAAAGTATATGAGGAAACACTCATAGCTAAAAACAAGATGGGTTGAGGTTAGGTGCTGTGTTTGGTTTTTCAGAGCACCGTTCCTATCAAGTGAATGGGAAAAAAAAGAAAAAAGATCATGACCAAGGTAGAACTTATGACTGCAGTCTGCTTGGGGAAAAAAAAAAATAACATGGAAAATAACATGGAAAATACCAGCCATCATCTGAATAAATGGTATGGCTTCTACAATGCTATGGGAAGAAGCAGTAGTTGCACCTGCACAGCCTTCTGCAGGATTAAAGGAAGTTTATTGGAAGGTGAAGGGACACAGAAAAATTGAAGAGAAACGTGAACGTGAAGAGAAACTGATGAAGATGGCACACGAATAAATCAGCGTGATAAAACTATAGAAGAGTGACTGGTATGGAGAGGCCCTTTTATAGCACAGCCGCAAACTCATGGAGTGACAGAATGGTTTGGGTTGGGAGGGGCCTTAAAGCCCTGCAGTCCCAGCATGGGCTGCGGGGCACCCGGCTCTGCCTGCTGGGCTCATCCAGCCTGGCCTCGAGCCCCTGCAGGGATGGGGCACCCACAGCTGTGGGCAGGCAGCCTGCGCCTCGCTCGCCACGACAGCAAGTGGATAACTGGCTGGAATGGAAGGTGTCGAGCTCCAGAGCAGTAGCAGGAAGAATTTTTCATCTGACTTGAAGCTGTTTTATGGACTGAAGAATCTGGGAGACGGACGCGTATGCTTTTTATGCTACGCTTTCTGTAGCCGGTGAGTGCGCAGGGGAGTCGGTATCTCGTCACGGGAAGGACAGTGCGCTGTGAGAAACAGGTCATGGGGGAAAGCAGGTGCAGAAGTCACACGGTGTCGTGCCAAGAACGCAGAGCCGCAGCGCGGTTCCCGTGCTTGGCGGCGTTCGTTGTGCGCGCTCGGCGCCGAGGGAGGAGCGAGCGGAGCGCCAACCGCCCCCGGCCCTGAGAAACGGCGGCCGTCGCGCCGCCTCCGTCCTCCCCGCGGGGAGGCGGGCACGGCTCCGGCCGCAGCGCGCATGCGGCGGGAGGCGGTGTTGGCGCCAAGCTTTGAACGTGGCGGCGTCCCGGGAGCGCGCAGCTCGGCGGGGCCGCGCCGTGCCCGCGGGGAGCCCCGCGCTTGGGGCGATGCTGCGGCAGCGGGGCGCTCCCGGGGGCCGGAGGGAGGTAATATCCCCGCACGGCTAGCGCGGGCGCTCCGTGTCGTTGCCCTTCCGGGGTCGCGGCTCGGTCCTCGCGCGGCCGTTGGGTGTCCGCCGGTGCGCGGTGGCAGCGGGTCGCCTCCTGGAGCGTAGCGCTGAGGTAACTGTGGTGCTGGCGCCGAGCCCTGCGGAGAGGGGCGGCGGGGCGCCGTGAGCGCTGCGTCAGGCGCTGTTTCCTTATTTCTTCTCAGGTTTTCCAACAACTGTTCCGGTGAGATTAAAAAATGGCTTACAAATCTGGGAGAAGACCGACTTTCTTTGAAGTATTTAAGGCGCATTGTAGCGATTCAGGTACAGTTTGACTACGGTGACGTGTGTTAGGGTTGTTGTATGGATGTTAACATCTTTTATGTGCTACCTGTAAGCTCTTCCTGTCCCGCTCTGCGCCGTGCCAGCGCGGCTTTGCCGTGAGTGCTGCTCGCAGGTCTGGGCGCTGCAGTGCCAGAAGGGCACAAAGCGATTAGACAGCGGCCACAGGAGGGCTGCCGAGATGTGAAGGAGCTAAGGGGGAACGCGTATGAGGAGCGGCTGAGGCCCCTGGTGTGCTCAGCCCAGAGCAGAGGAGCTGAGGGGAGGCCTGATGGCGGCTGCAGCTCCTCACAGGGAGCGGAGGGCAGCGCTGAGCTCTGCTCTGTGTGACAGCGACAGGGCCCGAGGGAACGGCATGGAGCTGCGGCAGGGGAGGGCAGCTGGGGGTGAGGGAAAGGGTCTGCACCACAGGGCGGTGGGCATGGAACAGCCTGCACAGGGCTGTGGGCACGGCCACGAGCTGCTGGAGCTCGAGGCTTATTTAGGCAGTGCTCTCAGACACAGGATTTGGATTTGGGGTGTTTCTGTGTGAAGCCTAGGGTTGGACTCCATGATCATTGTGGATCAACTCAGTAGATCCTATGATTCTTCCGTTTCATAGAAAGGTACTATGCAGGTTGTTCTTGGCTCAAATCTCTATTCATTATTACCTACTTTCTTATATATTTCTTTAAATCATAGGGTTTTTTTCATAATGTGTGCTCAGTTGCTATTTTTTTTTTTTTAATTGAACCTGATTTTCCTTATGTATGCAGGCCAGGGTCAGTCTTTTGCCAGATGAGCTGGTGGTAGTACAGCACAGTAATCACAGAAATGCAGGGGCTAGAAGTGACCGCAAGAGCTTGAGTCCAACCCTCCTGCTAAAGCAGGAACTCTATAATAGGTTGCACAGATAGGCATCCAGGTGGGCCCTGAATATTTCCGTAGGAGGAAACTGCACAACCTCTCTGGGCAACTTGTTCCAGTGCTTTGTCACCTTTACCATAAAGAAGTTGTTCAGCGTGTTAGTACTGAATTTCCTGCGTTCAAGTTTTAGGCCATTACTTCTGTGAACCACTGAGAAGAGCCTGGCCTCATTCGTTTCCTACCTCCCTTTAGATATTTATAAACATTAACCACATCCCTCTTCAGTCTTCTTTTCCCCAGGATGAACAGACCCAGGTTACTAACCTTTCCTCATGAGGGAGATGCTCCAGGCCCTTTATCATCTTTGTGGCCCTCCACTGGACTCCTTCTAGGAGATTCCTTTCTTTTTTAAAGTTCTGAGCGCCCAGAACCAGATACAGTACTCCAGACGTGGCCTCACCAGCACAGAGTAGAGGGGGAGGATCAACTCCCTTGGCCTTCTGGTCACATTCTTTTTAATGCACTCCGGGATACATTGGTCTTCTTGGCCACAGGGGCACACTGCTGGCTCATGGCCAATCTGCTGTTCAGTAGAACACTCAGGTCCTATTCTGGAGAGCTCCTTTCCAGCAGGCCATCCCCTAACCTGTACTGATGCATCTGGTTATTACTCTCCAACTGCAAGACTTTACACTTGGTCTTGTTAAGCCTTATCAGGTTCCTCCCTTACCAACTCTTCAGCCTGTTCAGGTTTTGTGGAATGGCAGTACAACCTTCCAGTGTGTTAGTCGTTCCTCCTGGGTTTGTATAATCAGCAAATGCTGGAAGGGATCTGTTTAACCTGCTGTTATGTGTGAAATTGAATGATTTAAAAAAACTGGATGCTCATTAGCTCTTTGGTTAGGTTTGCTTATGGTCTTAGAAATTTGATAGGTTTCTTGTTTATTTATATTTTGTGGGAATCAGAACTCAAAGCTATGTCCTTCTAGGAGGACAGGCTGAGAAAGCTCAGGCTGGTCAGCCTGGAGAAGACAAATTTCAGGGAGACCCGAGAGTGACCTCTCAGTATCTTAATGGGAGGTATAAGAAGGAAGGGGACAGATGTATTAGCAGGGTCTGTTGAGGACATGGGGAAATGGTTTTAAACTAGAAGAGAGGAGATTTAGACTGGATATTAGAATTTTTTTCTTTTTACAATAAGGGTGGTGAGGCACTGGAACAAGTTACTCAGAGAGGTGGTGGATGTCCATCCTGGAGACACTCAAGGTCAGGCTGAATGGCACTCTGAGCTCCTGATGGAGCTGTAGGTGCCTCTGTTCACTGTAGGGGGTTTGGACCAGGTGGCCTTTAAAGGTCCCTTCCAATACAAGCAATTCATTGATTCTTTGATCTGTCCAGGAATAGATTTATGGCAGTGGAAGAGGTAAAGCATTTTGCTACTAGCATATGAATGCATAATGTATATTTTCCTATCCTGTATAGATCTTTGATTCTGTACAGCTAACTGTGATGTTCTCTTACATGTGTCATATATAGAATTAAAATTTCTTTTTTTTTTTTTTTCCCTGTATGTATTTATTCATAGACTTGGGGCCTATAAGTCTTGACTGGTTTGAAGAGCTCAGCTCAGAAGCACCCCTCTATGAGCCTAAGTTGCTAGGAGAACCTGAAGGTCCCATTGGTTGGCTTGATCAAACTTTTAAAACTCCAAAGGCGAAATCCTCTACAGACAGCCAGCTGGCATCAACTCCACTGATTTTTAAAGAACAGAATACAATGCCACCTTTTTCTTCTCCTGGAAAAGAATTGGATCAGAAAAAAATGGAAACAAGTGAGTAAATTTTTACCTGCTAGCCATTGTACCTATCCTTATTGGAAAGAAAGATGAATATTTTCTATGGAGATATATGCAGGATTGTGTGTAAGAATTTTTTTATGTAGAAGAATGTCTAACCCTTTCCCTGCAGTGTTTCATTTGTACATCATCTGTGTCCTCCTAGCAATAAGATAATAGGTTACAGATGAACACAAGTCTCTGCTGTTGTTGAATTTGTCCTTAGACTCCAAAGCAGAGCCTTTAAAGGTGTAGAACCATCTCAGCATTCAATTATAATTTTGCTTCCATAGAACAGTTACCCTTCTCATTTCTTTTGTTTTTGAGCTTGTGCTCACCTTAGCTGGGACCACATTTCTTCTAACTTTAGCTATGCAAATTTCCGTATTATTTTAAGTCCCTAGTGAATTACTGGTAGCATTTCACAAGATAAAAACAAAGGAGCCCTATGGTGGTTCTGTTTCACAGCAGACAGTTGTTTAGACTCCCCTGTAAAGTGAAAACTGGTACTGAAGTTTCAGTGGTTACCCATGTCTGGCCCGAGGTCTTATTCTCTGTTTTCTTGGCTAGTCAAGTGGCTCATGTGCCTCTGTTTCCTTGTGAAAATGAGCACATGGATGGAGGTGAGGTCTGCTACTGGGGTGCAGACCTGCAGTGCATATAGACTCAGGAACTCAGGAGTAGAGAGGAATGCAGAAATCTAATTTCTGAGAAGGAAATCCACTGGCGTTTTTTCACTGGAAACTGTTTTGAGTGGATGCTCATTCATGCGAGAAGCTCACTGTCAGGGGTTCTGCTGCTTTGCTGGGCATACTTTCTCTTTTACGTGGGGATGCATGTAAGTAGCATCTGTTGCCAGTACCATGGGCAGCACCTCCAATAACAGTTTCAGAAATATATATATATATATATATTTACTTAGTGCTATTTTTATTTAGTGCTACTTAAATCAAGAGATGTTGTGTCTTAAGTAAATTTGAGAGAGGTCAATGACAATGCATGTTTGGATGCACTCAGTCCCCTCTAGGGGTAGCTTCTGCAATGATACAAAGTGCAAATACAGTGTAGCATGCTGACATTGAATATGTAGCTTGAATAATGTCTTGGAAATACACTAAAACAAATCTTAACAAATTAATAAAGCGACAGAATGAATTATTTTTGATGGTACATATAATTTTGGTGGAAATGTGGTGAGCTGTTAGGATATAGAATTTGTATATGTTCAAAGCACTAGAGGAGAGCATAGCGTTAGGTGTGGGTTTTGGGCTGAAATCATATTTGATATAATTTTTTAAAGCTTATCTTTACACTTCAAAATTGAAACAGTTACTGCAAGATTGTTGCAAGATTATTATGTTTTATGTTGTAGGCAGAGAGAATTTGCTAAGTCCAAATATGGCAGGAAGAAAAACGGATCAAGAAAATCAAATACTTGCTTCTCCTCATGGTATCTGCCACAACTACGCTGCTGCTAGGTATGCTAAATTAATCAATGTGGGTATAAGATCCAGATAAACTGGATTTTAAACAAAAAGCACTTTAAAACTGATGTATTTTTCTGCTAAACTTCTTCAGAGTGGTGGATAATCTCACATATCTCATGTTTATGGTACTTGTAGGTTGCTAAACAAATGGAGAATAAAATGCTAGCTAATTCTGAAGACTTCTTTGCTTTTAGGTGATCTTCCAATTATTTTTCTACTCCTTTGTAGCTGCCATGTGACAGTTATTGACAGTATTTCAGCTTTCCAGACCCTTTATGTCCAGTGCAAGAGCTGAGAATTGTTATGCATCACGCACTTCAACAGTAGTAGTTTGTAAAACTGTATTAACTGTATTTGATCCTTACTGGGATATTTTGGTAATGGCCTTGGGTGTTGTTTTTTTTGTTTCTTTTTTTTACACATAAATGCATATTTTTTTAGATTCGTTTTCTGAAGGCTCTTGTCTTGATTATAAAGAACAGTTGAAATAATTACTTAATTAGAATAAATTAATTGGGAGTGTTTCTATAGTTTTGTACATTATGTTAAGATGTTCATAATTCTATTGAAGTCTAGCATATTGTTTATCAAACAAATATCATTGAAAATTAATATGTTTCACAAAGGAGGCATTTTACTGTTTGACATAAACTCAGTAGGGTTTGAAATTCTGACTGGTAATTAGAAGAAATCTGTTATTTAGTCAAGGAAGTAGCTGTGGTTGCAAAGAAAAGAAATAACAGAGGCAGTAATGTACGTAATGTCTGCTATGAATATTTACAGTCATTTTCAGAAATGGATACATTAAATTTATTCTTTTATTTTGCAGTCCAACTACTTTAAGGAATACTTGCAGAACACCACAGAAAAGTAATATACCTGGTTTGTATTTTCATTTTTTTCATTCTACAGGCTGTCTGATATGTGTAGATATGTCTTCATTTCTTAGGATGAACTTGTTGTCCTCATTATGTAATGTTTTTTAGGACCGTATGGAAGCTTGTTTTGCACACCAAAATTTTTAGAGGTAAATATTTCATCCCTGTACTTTGTTCTCTTTTTGTGGAGTGCTATGTTTAGAATTCTGTATAAAAATAAAACTTAAAAATATATTTCTAGATCCGAACTCCAAAACGTATTTCTGAAAGCCTGGGTGCAGAAGTGGATCCAGAAATGTCCTGGACGAGTTCTTTAGCTACTCCTCCTACACTTGGTGCGACAGTGATAATAGGTAACTCTGAAAATGAACAGTTGCAAAGAATTAAAACCTTCAGGTTTTGACACTTCATTATTATTATTTTTTCAACTCTTTCAGTGATGCTTTGTGGGTGACTGTAAATAATGTAACCCTAAGTAGAAGAAATGAAATTAAATGTATCCTTGCTTTGCAGATGTTTTCTTCTCATGTATGAGGATTTAGGGGATATAAATTTAGAAATAATAGAACGAAGCATAGAAAGATGATTGGATAATGATTCCTTGTGTTTCTTCCACCAAAAAACTAGACAACTATTAAGTCATGTGAATATGTTATTAAGTGTAAGGTTGCAGCTTGTTGAGTAAAATTCTCCGTAGCCATGCTGGCTTTGGCATTTTGAGGCCAAACTGTTTTATTGGTGCAGGTAGGCAGACTGAGATCCAGTTGAAGACTGTATTTCCTAGATTATTCAGACCGGATGATTCCTGGACCTTATTTCCTGTACAGCTGCACAAACAGCAGTGCCAATGTAACTGAGCTGATGGCTGCTTAGGTGTCACTAACAGTGATGTCAAACATCAAGGCTTGACTTGTTGTAAGTGAAATTTCTTTAGCATGGTTAACAAGCAAAATGCAATTTGAATTAATAAGTTGATGATTCTTGAGAAAATGGAAAGACCTGGATGTCTGCTTATCTATTGGCAGTGCTTTTTTTGTTACTGTAAAACTATCACTGTATGAAGTTTATAAAGTATACAAACTTGCAAAGCATCTAAAGCATACTAGGAGTGCATGTCAGAACTGGAGATCCTCTCTGTTAGCAGGATCTGGGTGTTGCTCTTAGCTGGGTATTTGTGACTTCTGAATGATGTGACTTGAAGGACTGGGGGAAGCACCCATAGTTTAACAGTACACTTCTAGGAAATGAGTTCTGCTTCGAACTTTCCTTCTCATTTTCTCATTTCCTGGATGAGTACAATTATTTTATAGTCATGAAGTCAACTTTCTGCCACCTGTTACCTGTAAAAGGAAAACTAATTTGGCTGCTACAAAAGAGGAGTTCAATTTATTAATCTTAATACCACAGAGGAGCCTAGATGCCATGTCTATGAAAGATGTTATTTCAAGATACTGCACTTAAATCATCTTAAAAGTAGTGTTCACGTTCCCCATTTGTAATGGAGTTGAAAAGATATTACTGTTCTTGTACGTGGAAATGGAGAGGAAACAAGTCCCTTGTAGCAGCTTGAAGATCTCATCCAGATCCTGTGACAAGAAAAAAATGAGGGAGTGATAGCATGAATAACTGCTGGAAAGGGGAATGGCAGCAGCAGTAGGCTCTTAGTGGTAGACTGGTATGCCTACATGGCAGCAACCAGATTATGTGACTTAGAGTATTTTAGGCTGTTAAAAATGCTCACGCTGTTCCTCAGACTCACCTGTAGGATGTTTTAGTTAAAACTTCTAGTTAGTTTTATTAGGTTTTTTGTTTACAGATTTAAGGTGCATTTAAAATAATCAAATGAAAACCCTCCCAAATCAACTGTATTTCATCATACTCAATAACTTAGGAGCAAATGAATTGACTTCTTTGTCTTTCTTCTAAAGCTAGAGAGAATGATTCTATTTCTGGAGCAAAGCAACAGGATGAAAGAGCTGAGATAGTAAGTAGTTTTTAAGAGCTGTGCTATTCCTTAATTTCAGTTAAGCTCTTTAGTTGTATGCTTACATTCCTGGAGCCAAGAACAATAATTCTGTCATTTTCACTCTAGGTCTTCCTATCTGGCTATTCTGGCTGTTTTAAAAAGTTACTGCTCACTGAAGTAAGCTTGCAAAACACAGCTATAGATCATATTTTCACAAATACCCCCTTTGAGGAATATTTTCACTGTAAAAAATAAAATATAAATTTGGATTCAGTAGCAGTGGGAGTCATTCAAAGAAAAACCAAAGCTAGGAATTGCAGCATACCAATTGTCTGAGGGTTTAGTTGTTCCACTTTATTCCCCTCCTGTCAAAGTTTTGAGTTATTATTTGATTTAAGTTGTCCAGTAAGTTCTTGTGCTCAACCCCTATACTAAGAGTTAAAATTGAGGCTTCATTTCAGTCCTTTGATACCATTATGTAAAGGACAGTTCCTGCTTAACTGTGGTTTTATATATTAAAGCCAAATGATTATTGAGAGTGAAAACCAGGAATGTCACTACTGGGATTTCATTCTTAATACCTGAAACTTCACAGATAATATTTTTAACAGCAAAACCACCACACAAAGAGTGGTGCTTCTGTTTCTTTTTGAGAGGCTTACTTTCTGCATGCTGGTGAACCCATTCACTGCCCCATGTGACCCTGTGTTGATTACAGAATGAAAGCTGATTTGCATTGAAGATGTAGATCATCTACTCACTGATTTGCAAGAAGTATAACTGTAAAAACACTACTTTTTATTGTAAGAAATGCAGAATTATTTAGAAATTGCAGTTGTTTATAGCTGTGTGTTTTACAGTTCATGTCACTGATACATAGGATATATAAACATACATTCCATGACATGTTTGGCTGTATCTTTGGTTTGCAGGTTTTGCACAACTTTTTATCTAAAGATGATGAATATACTGCAAAGAATGATACAAGTCTGCTGTCTATACCAGAGACAGTAAAACTAAATGCTAAAGACGACATAAAAGATCTTGGTAAGCATTGGTGTTTTATTGCTATTACTCAGTGTATTGTGAAGGAATGCTGAGGTTAAGTTACGTAGTATTTCTTGAAATGACCACGTAGCCTATTTCCTCTGCCAGCTGTCTGCTCCCACTTTGTGAATTGGCTTGCCTTTGTGAATTTAATGTGGCCATTTAAAAAACAGAACAACAATTTCTGTAAGTCCACAAATCAAATTAGATTACAGTGCCTTTGGATGACAACCAGATTTGTATTGGTATGAGTGAAGGTGTAAGACCATATGGAAAAGCCGAGAGAGAAAAAGGGCACAGGCTCAAGGGGAGCAAGACTGCTATTAAGTAGGTTTAGTGTAATTAGGAAATTTCACCTCAATCCTCATTTTTCTGTGGTGAGTTTGTTTTTTTTTTTATTTTTGCTATATCCTTTATATACTCGTTTCATCTATTAATAGCTCACAGCATGACAAAACTTTATGAAAAAAGAATGTTATTCTTTAACAAATGCAAAATATATATAGGCAAAGAAAAAGAAGTTTTGATTTTATGTTCACTTGTGAACAAGTGAAAATGTATGTTTCTGGTTTGAGCTTTTTGGTTATTTTGAGAAACAGTGACAGAAGGGAAGAATATTAACGGAAATTTATTAATCATGCATGGATGTAAAAGGATGTTGTTTGACACAGGCTAGATGGGATGATATATCCTTGGGATTGTTGTCTCTCCTCATTTGAATTGAAGGGAATGCCATGAAAGCATTGTTTGACAAGTGTAAAGAATTATGAAATAATCAGTTTGGCATTTGACAGGAACATCTGAGAATTGTAAAATCGCCAAGGTTGGCAAAGACCTACAAGATCATCCAGTCCATCTGTCGGTCTATCACCAATAATTGTCTCTAAATCATGTCCCTCAACACAGCGTCCAAACGTTCCTTGAGCACTTCCAGGGAATGCTGGGGTCAGAAAGCATTGAGGCTTGCAGAGCGATACATACTGCTGGTTTTGTAATGTAGATTCAAGCATGCTAAGGGAAACAAGGGAATTAGTAGAAATGGGTTGAGTGCTGTGTTTATAAGGATTCAAACTTGGACAGTTCTGACAATCATTCAGTGTGTTACTCTAGAGCAGAAACGTGTCCAAGCCTCTAATGTTTAAGACTCCTTTTTTTTTTTTTCAGTAGAGGTGTTAAAGAAAAGAGATTAAATAGATATTGCTTAGTTATGACATCAACTGGGGGAAAAAAGACATTCTGTTTTTCAGTCCCAGTTTTAGAGGTTACTTGTTTTCCTGAACACATCAGTGAACTTAGAAGTCAAAATGGACTTCCCTGGTTTTGTTGTGTTGGTGGGATTTTTTGTGTGTGTTTTTTTTCTTTCACTCCTTGGCATCAGAATATTCAGTGTATAATGAGTATCTTCATAATCTTTCAAATATTTCTGGCGTTCTCCTGTTAAAGGTAATAGCTCCTGTTTATGTTAAAGGTAGTACAAATGGGCAGGGTTGGAATACTCTCACAATTACAGGACAGAAGGATGTGAATACAGAAGTTACTCCAGGGGAGTGCATCTTTCAATCTGTAGTGTTTACAGTTTCTTCCTTTCGAGATCTTGTTTAGATACCTTCTGTGACTTAGGCAAAAAAGTAGAAAGTAAAGAGTATGGGCAACTTTATGAGATGTGTTGAGAGAGGTGGCTTTATGCATAGAGCAGAGGGCATGAAACCATCATTGAAGTATACTATGGTTAGCTGCATGTGTGTGTGAAAAGTACTGAAAAATGGTCTATGGATCTCCATATGGGAAATGTTTCAGGCAGTAGTGTGTTTAACAGTTAGAGTAGATAAATAGTTCTGAATTACAGTTTCATATTAGAGACTTTCACCACACAACTACCGCAGTCTTCAGACAGCTGGGGCGTCTGTACATACATGATTTGCCCCATCTCCTCCCTCTAATAGCTGCTATTAAAGAGTAACCTATTTTAAAGACATACATTTATCTTTCCAAATTGAATCCTGAGTTGAATGAAGGTAATGACCATAAAATTGAATGCTGTATTTACCTGTAAAAATACAATTCTATTCTTAACTTATTTCTGAAATGTAATTTTTAGTACTTTTTTTCTTTTCTCTATTTTCAACTATTTAGAGTTGGAGATGTTAGATGGTTTATTTGGTGAGATGAATAGCTTTGAGGATTCATTCAACTTGCCTGCTGAATCCAGTGGAACTCTTCTGCTATTGCCACATGCTCTGCATGCAATAGAGAAATGTGAAATAAAAACAGATGAAGCACAAAGAAAGGGTGATGTTCTTTCTGAACAACGTATGAGAAGAAAGACTGCCATTTCACAGGAAGTGAAAGCTGATAACTGGACTGAAAAAAGCTGCTGTGTTGAAGTGAAGGATTCTGTATTCCAGAACACTGATGAAGACATGGATAGTAAAGACAGCTGCTTAATAGGGCATGAAAAAGAATTGGAGTATCTTAGGATTGCAGGAAACTTGCAAGATAATAGAACTCAGAAATCATCTGTGAATGAGAAGCTTGTGAAAGATGTGCTGTCTTCATCAAGCCAGTGGTCTCAGCTGAACTTGTCCGATCTTGATATAACTCATCTGGAAACATCTATGTGTAGCCCTCCACAGTCTGACTTATGTAGAGAGAAATGTTTACAAGAGAAGTCAGTACTAATGACCAAGGATGATGTCATGGAAACATCTTTACTGAATACTGCAGGCTTGAAAAATGCACAGGAGCTCTCAAGTGCCAGTTTGTCAGAAAACTGCGGTGATATGAAGATATTTAAACACAATCCAATGGCAGAAATAACTCCAGTAAAACCTTTGTGTGTGAGTCCAAAGTTGGTAAAAGGATGTGCACGTGAAGAGGTTTCTAAAATGAGCTTTTTAAACTGTAGTTCTTTTTTAATTGAAAGTACTAATGTCATGGAGTATTCTGTAGTCTACAACAGCACCTTTTCCACGCATTTAAAAGCAACTTCGAAATCTGTGGTAACTGATGTTCTTTCTCACCCTTTTATATGTCGCACTGCATCTCCAGATAATTGCAGTGACCTACATTTAACAAATAGTGAAAATGCTCTTAGAAAATCTAGCTTTAAAAGCCTAAATATGTTATCCAGATTGAGGAAAAAATCCAAGAGATTTATTTATACAATAAATAATACTCTAGTGTATCAGGAAGAAAATGTGCAGAAAGAAGTAACCTCTGAATCACCTGCTAATCCCGTGTTAACATGTTTGGAATCTGATTTACATGAATTTAAAGGTTGTCAGGTGGCCGCAGATGGTAATCAAGGTATGTTATTAAGCTTTTGCATATTTTTGGAGGATTCTCCATTTACTAATTACCTTTTCTGTAAATACTTAAAATTGTGTAAAAGCTTGTATTTGTGAGAAAGTAGATCTGTAATTATTTTGTTTAGTGACAGAAGAGCATAAATGTGTTCAAGTAGTCTGGTGCTAATTTATTGTTTTCACCTCAGGTTATCTTCTGCAATAGAAACTTCCACAGTGAGCCACTATTCTAATGAAGCACATCAATTATGTTTGTCAATGCTGTTCAGGCATCCAAATTGTCAAGGGCTGTCCTGTCTCCCGGTGATCTCTTAGATGTTATAAACAGAATGTTAAAGATTTTTTTTTCTATAAGTAGGGGATTTAAGGCTGTTTATCTGTTTCTTCTGGGAGCACAAAATACTTAATATACATACATACATATTTAATGAAAGCAAGGACATACTCTGATTTTTAGAAGCTTGGTAGAAAAATTGCTTAAAATTAGGAACAGGAGCACCATTTTGTAAAGTTTGAAACCAATCCTTGTGTTGAGACAAGGAACGGAAGCCCTTCGCTTCAAATTTCATTACAAATAATTATTTATTTCATGATGGCATTAACTATAGCCTTTTTGTTACTGGCTACTAGAACAAAATTAGAGACAGATCACAAATCCTTTCAAGGCATTCACGTTTGAAAAGGAAAGTGTTATTTATGATACCAGCGTTAAGCATATATAGAAATGCTCATATAGGCCAATATTGTATGACAATTTGAATTTGCATTTGTTTGAATAAATGAGAGCTAGTTTAATGTATCTTTTCTCTTTCTTGTAGACTGCTTGCTTTTGGCTGAGAGACAATCAAATGTCAAAGAAAATAATTTCGACTTTCCTACTATGGAGGTAGACATAATGGATAACTCATCTGATAATTCTGTCAACAATAGGCTGAAACAACAAGAGCTGAGTGACTCAGGAAAAAATGTAAGAGAGAATCAACCTGCTACCTCATTTAAATGCTTAGAAGAATCTCATACTCGGAGTGAACACACCACAGATTGTTTAAATAGTGGAAGAATTTCAAATATAAAACATAAGGTACTAACTTCGGCATACCTAATGGCAAGAAGGTGTTCCAGATTGTTTCCTGAAGACTGTTGCTTAAGGAAAGGCAAGAATGATGCATATATCAGTCCTAATATGAACAGTCGAGCTGCTGTACCTCAGAGCCCTAAAGGACAGCCTCCACAGTCCTTTCCTAGTTGCAGTGATTGCTTGATTGATACGCACCATGGCACTGCATTTGTGACAAACAGAAAGTTCAGTAATACTTTGAGTCAGACCAAGTTTGGCATGAACAGAGTCGGTGATAACTCTTGCAATAAAATATCAGCTGATAAAAGGAGTGCTACAGATCAGTTGTCAGCTGAATATAGGGAAATAATTGCACCTTTGGAAATAAACTGCTTACAAAACAGTACTGGTTTAAAACAATGGGGGAAAGAAGATGTAGCTGAAAATCAAGATACTCTCTCTATTAAGAACAGTGAAAACTCTCAAGCAGCTGCTTGGAATAATATATCTGTAGAGGTTGCTGAAGAAATCTTGGATTGTATAGATAATTCTTTGAATGAAGTAATTTCTGAAGAAGATAGGCAGTTAGCACCTGTGTATTTCAACACAAAGCCAATTGAAAACCTAGAACATAAAGGGAAATCATCAGGAGATCTTCACACCTGCAGTTCAAGTCTGAGCTTTGGTGGCTTCCAGACTGCTTCCAATAAGCAGATTAAATTCTCTGAAAGCAGCATAGCAAAAGGCAAAATGCTGTTCAAAGATATTGAAAATGAATGCTTTGAAACCTCTTCCCTGGAAAGAGTGAGAAATTTTTCAAATCAAGTTCAAAAGGAGAATGTATTTTCTTCAGATTTGGAAAGCAAAACAGGCAGTACTTCACCTGGTTTGCAGACAAGGTGTACACAGTATATTCCATGTAAGGTTGATTTGTGTAAAAACTCGCTTAGTAATCAACTATCCATGCAAGAACCAAATCAGTCTTTGACAGCAAGCCAAGAAGCTGAAATTGCTGAACTTTCTAATATCTTGGAAGAAACGGGTAGCCAGTTTGAATTCACACAATTTAGAAAGCAAAGTAACATGATACAAAATCATGTTGAGCAATTTGGAGCAACAAATGTGGAAAATGCTTCTAAAGAAGGGGAAGATACTAATTTCTATAGCACTCTTAAATCTGAAAATCATGTAATAAATGATGAGTATTGCAGTAAGTTGAAAAATGAAAATGAATGTAAAATGGTAGAATATGAAAAAGAAAACACAGTGGTTTTCCATAAAAATAAAAAAAAAGTTACTTCTACTAACTTGGACAGAAATGAAAGTGGAACATCCAACCATGAGAGCTGTCCGGTACCTTTACAGGCCAGCTTTTCTAATTTTGTAGGATTTACTTCAGCTGGAGGTAAAAAAATAAATATTTCTAAGGCAGCTTTGACCAGATCTGCAGAGCTTTTCAAGGACTTGGATGATGATAGCTTTTTGTTTAAATCTTCTGAAACCAATATCAGATGCTGCAATTCAGATGGGCATGTGTCTTCTAACTGGAATTTTATCAGATGCCAGACAAAAGAAGGTGAAGGAGGTATACTTCGTGTTCCAAACATAAGGAGCATAGGTCCCATTTCCCATCATTCAGAGAAAGAATATGCGGAAGATATTAGTACCCCATGTAAGGAAAATACAGGAAACTGGACAGAAATGTTAAGTGATAATGAAAATGTTGATTTCAGTTGTACTAATGCTAGATATTCTGCCTCCGGAATGAGAAGCAGTTCATCATCCTTTAAAAAACCTCACCAGAACTGTAAAAATTCTGATCAGTTTCTGAATCAAGGAGACAGCCAAGGTGAAGGTTGTTTACAAGAAGACACTTCATATCTGATGTGTCTAGGTGATAATATTAACAGTGCCAAAGAACATGGTTTAAGTGTTTCAGATGAAACGGAAAACCTGTCCCCTAATCAGAAAGAAGACAGAAAGCAGGAAGACAAACACTTGCTGCTAAACTGTCAAGCTGCAGATACTGATGCTGTATCAATTTCTGACTCATCTTTGTGTAGTTCTCTACGTGATCTCAATGTACAATGTGGGGAAGGAGATGCAGATGTTTCAGAGAGCTCTAGTAAACGAAAGACAAATAGTGTCAATGTGGAAGGAGAAGACTCCACACATAAGAACCTGTTAGTGAGTGAAAGTGGGGTTAAAATAGGCTCTTACCAACATCATCGAGTACCTTCTGAGCAAGAGACAGATGTTGAAAAAAACGAAGTTAAAGGGACTTATCTGACTGGTTTCCATACTGCTAGTGGCAAGAAAATAACAATTGCTGATGGATTTTTGGCGAAAGCTGAACAGTTTTTTTCAGAAAATAATGTTGATGTAGGAAAAGATGATAATGACTATTTTGAGGACTGCTTAAGGAAATATAATAAAAGCTATGTTAAAGGCCATGGCTTATGTATAGATGGTGTTGCTCAACGTGATGCAGATGTACTTAATTTTAAAGATACCCTTATTCCTGAAGAATCTGGGGACCTACTAAAGCAGGCAATAGAGGGGAGTCCCATTAAACAAGCTATTAATCATGACAGCATTAAAGTGGGTGCATTTATTACTGTGGATGAAGAATGTGAAAGAAATTTGGCAGCTCAGTGTGCAAATAAGGAAGCTTATGTCAGACCTGGAAATTCAGAAGTAAAATCTCTTCCTGGACATGGGAGCAATTCTTTAAGTAGAACTCTTTTGTTTGAAGATAGAAAATTCTTTGCAGAAAGAGATGTGGAATACTCAGCAAAAAAGAGGGATAATTCAGAAAGCAAGCCTGACTTTCCTCTAAAGTGTGCTACATCTCTGCATTTAACAAAGGTGTCAAGTGACCCTGCAGATAATTCTGTGCCTGGTGGTATTATTAAGACTGTATCTGCTGAGGATAGTTGCAAATCTAGTCAGTCCCTCCTCTTAACTCATGGTAGTGTTCCAAAAAGTGCCTCACCTTATCTGAACTGTGGCAGTAAAGAGATTGGCTTAAAACACTTAAATGAACCTTGTTCTAATACAGACTGCTTCACAAATACTGCAGATAATGCTCACCAAGAACAGCCTGAAGTCGATCTTCCTGAAGATGGGACTAATTTAACCTGGTTACAAGAAACATCACTTATTGCTGAAAGTCAAAAGAGTGATCTGAAACAAGTGTTCAGTACAGCAAAAGGTAAAGCAGTCTCTGTTTCAGAAAGTGCATTAGCAAGCATCAGGCAGATGTTTCAAACAGACTGTGACAAATATGTAAAATCTGAAATTGAGACTAAATCAGGAACTAATCAAGCAGAGATTGCTGGAAGTTCATCTTTTAGCATTCATGCTGGGGCTCCTGATTTTGCTACATTTTTAGACACTACAAAAAATGAGATGAATTTGGCTGCATCTCATTTTATTAATAGAAATTGGAATCTTATTGAAAACAATCACCAAGTTGCAAACACATTTGCAGATGTAGATTCTGTTCAAGATTCTCAGATGCAATGCTTCGAGCAGAAGAGTAAGCTTTTAGGACACTTGCCTGTGCCTGATAAGCAGAGGGAGCAGTCAGGTCCTTCGGGCAACTTTGGGTTTTTCAGTACAGCAAGTGGGAAGCCTGTGCAACTATCAGAAGAGTCGCTAAAGAAAGCTAGACAGCTCTTTTCTGAAATGGACGGGAACCATTCACCAGGGCTACAAGATGCACATTTGCTTGAAGGTGTTGAAAAATCCAGAAACCGTGATGAAATATTTCCTAGAGAAATGCAGCTAGCGCTGCCAAGAGGGAAAGAGAATGCCAGCACTGATAAGATATCAAGTCCTGCTTTGGGGTTCAGCACTGCAAGTGGAAAGCAAGTGACCATCTCTGAAAGTGCCTATCGGAAAGCAAAGGCAATTTTAAAGGAAGCAGATGACTTTTTAAGCAATGAGCTTGGTGTTACAGATGAACTTTGTGAAATTAAAGGGAGTGGTCAACATGCAGAATATTTAACTGGTAAAGCAATTTCAGAATCCAAAAATGAAAAAAGCTGCAGTGAGGAGCTTGACTTGAAAAGCATTCACCCTGAAGAAATGAAGTCATTTCCAAGCACTCACCGTGTCAAAATTACTGAGTATGTACCACAGAGTAAGAGAAACAGCCAGTCAGCACCGTTTAAAAATAGCTTTGAGCAAGAAGAGACCAGACTTTTTAGAAAAGGAGAGCTGAATCTGGGGATGAAAACAGAGTCTGAATCAGATTTATGCAGTGCTACATCTAAAGCAGAAATAAACATTTTCCAAACTCCAAAAGGCTACTTGAAAACAGAGGCTGTAGAAAGTGCAAAAGCTTTTATGGAAGATGATCTTTCAGATTCTGGAGTCCAGGTTAAATCTGCACAGTCCTTCGTTGGCAAAATGTCAGATAACTTTCAAAATAAGCCGTTTGGGAAGAGACGCTTGGAAGAAAAAGACTCACTTGGTAGGTCTTTGTCTTATGTCTGTTTGATTCAATAATAATAGCTCGTGATTTTGCATTTAGCATTGATTTTTTTTAATGGGAAGTAGATCACCATAGACTCGTATAGGTGCACAAGCTCAGGTGCAAGTGTTGGGAAGACTAATGCAAGAAACAGTGAGTAGGCATAAAAAGGTATATGAGAGTATGTCAGGCCAACCCCAGACAGCCCATGCCACAGCTGAACTGTAACCTAGAGGGAACAGACCTACTGATTAGAGAATAGTCTGACACAGGCTGCCTTATACGGAGCCTTGAAACCATTCATGGTAGCACCATACAAGCTTCTTCCTGTGCAGAAGAGAACTTTGTAAAACATGCTGAACTAGCTCTGTATTGAAAAAGGATGTTAAAGTCATTCAAAAACTTGTTAATTCTGTTTGCTGTGACTTCTTCAGTGTTTTATTTGGCAATTTAGTTAAGTTGTTCAGTATTGGCAAGAAACTGAACTTAATAGTAACATCCCTGTTTTTATCCTAGGAGAACCTCCAATTAAAAGACAGCTACTGCTTGAATTTGAGAAGATGAAGATCCCCCCCAAATCTTTGAAACCTTTGAAAAGCACTCCTGATGGTAATCCTGGTGTTCTTATGTTCTAAGCAGTAATCTCATGTTAAACTTTACCTTTAAAATTCTTTAGTTTCCAGTTAACTAACAGAAAGTGATTGCTTAAGTTATTCTTTTATCACTACAGTCTTGAAAATTCAGGGAAACTGCTATGGTGATGTCTCTGCTGACTTGAAGTCATGTAATTAACAGCATGTCATGTGGTATCTAAATGCATTAAGCTGCACTGCTTTTGCAAGAAACCTGCTTTATTTCCATCATGGTAGGAATTCATCCAGTTTCTCACAGAAGTAAAGCTCACTATTACCAGCTTCAGTAGAAGGAATGTGTTTTACTCATCTGTGAATTTTCAATCAAAATTTATATCTACAGGTAAATAAGAAGGTACTGATGATTTTATCTTACAATGGTTAGTGCAGAATATGCTTGCTGATAGCTGTGTTACGAAATACTAAAAGCAACCGTACCAGATAATCTGGAGGCTCTGGAAAATGAACATTAAGACTTTAAAGTTTGAGGTGATGCTCTTTGGGAAGCTCATTATGATTGTTGTGTTAGAGTAACATGACTGGATGCTGCTTTTGCTTATGGGATAAGCTGTGTTTTTTAAGGAGCTTGTTCTTTCAAAGCACTGCGTGCTGTCACCTAGAATTCAGTACCACAGTGCACATAGTAAATCAGAAAGGCTTGTGCAGCTAGGCATTATTGCCAAGTAGCCTGAGATGAGAGGTCTGTATTTACAGCTGCTGATTTTGAAGCCTTGGAAATGATACATCATGTAAAATAATCCTCTTTGGATGGATTGGTTTGATGTTACAGAAGACTTCTGTTTCACACACAGGGTACTGTAGTATTGCTGATAGTTCTGTGAAAATTTCTTGCATCTCATTACTGTCACTTCCATTTTTAATTGCCTCAGCCAGCTGTCCTCTAACCTAGGTAGTAACCACCATTACTCACTGCAACAATTTAGAAGCATAATCTTCCTATTTCTTTCTCTTAGTGAATGACACATCCCTTGAGGCTGCAAAGCAGTGGTGCTATATGTCTACTAATGTTACTTTTGTCAGATATTTGGTCCTGTTTTGGTCTGCCTTTTTGTTCCTTTAAGGAGGTACTTTCTATGCCTCATTACTCAAAATGGAATTATACATGAACTTCTTTTGCAAGTGAGAATTACTACTTTATTTAAAGTACTTCAAAATATAATCTAAAGTTTTAAGGAGAAAGTTGAAATGAGAGTCGTACTTAAATGGTGAATGTTTTCTTTCACTGCA